TAAACAATATAAATGAGATAGATTCCGAAAACAAAGTTTCAATGTAGTCGATAAGGAAGAGAATAAAAATCGTTCACTTTATAGATTTATAACCGATAGGCATACGGAGATATTGAAGATGAAGTTTATAACGTATACAAGTATTTGAATGAGCATAGGGAGAATATAGCAAAATGTCAAGATATAAGTATTCGAAAGATATTGAAGTTATTATTAGTTGAAGAGTCAGGAAGATAACGACATTTAATCATAATTTAAAAGAAATCCTAAATAAACGAAATCCTTTAGAGGTAAAATGTTAGAAAAGCAAGATTCGACATTTATGATAGATTTCCATTGTTGAAAAGGCAAAATAATGAAAGAAATCGGATGGTAAATACTGACTAGATTTCTTAAAACACATGAAGAGAAGTTTGTTAAAACGATAGTTGAGACATTTTGAATCACTGTTATTTTCTTCTATTTTCCATGTTAATGACTGTTTACTTGCACAATACGGAATTACTTGATATGAACCTATTAGATAATTATTGATTTGAAGTTCATCATGAATTGAATATAAGCTTAAAGTGTACAATAATATCTCAATTAACAATATATCACAACTTTCAACTAATGATCATCTGCTATAGATGATAAAAAATGAAAAAGTAATTGTTCATTACTGAAATTAACAACAGATGTAACGCCTTTTTTCCAGCACAATACTGATAATACAAATTCGACTGAAATCTTTTTTCTGCAGTTCCGTCATTCCAGATGAATATTTATTTAAGAAAAGAAATAAAATTATGGTGTTATAAAAATTCATCTTGAGTATGGATGTGAATGGCGATGCGATTCTCGCTTCGTATCCGTCCACACCCATTACTCAAGTAACAAAATTTATTCCATTCATATAAACTTTTGATGACATAATGTCAATAGAGAATTTTGCATAGTTGATCGTTTCTTCCAAAAAAATACTAATAAGGCAAAAATAATAATTACTGCATATGTTAGAAATAATCCTTTCATTGTTGAGATTTCCATTGCCGTTATTGTTTCTACCGTGGCAGAGCAGATCGATGTTTGAAACCATTTTGTTCTAAAACTATCTAGTTCACTTGATTCTCTCAATGTTAATATATTAATATCAAAATTTTGTGCATATCAACATTGTTTAGGCATCACAATTCACATTTCAACCGCATAAACACCTGTCCCTACTAGTGTTAAATTACAATGAATATTCTTGGTCACATATTCACCTTCGCCAATATCTACAATTTTAACATCATTAATTCCTACTAATAAAGCATTATACATTTGTTCGGAAGTTTGAATAGGATAGAAATTTCTTTTTCCTCCAGATATTTCATTCAAATAAATATCTTCCATCGATGTTCCAACATAAATTCCAATACGAGAATATGAAACTTTACCATTTTTAAGATCATCAAGTCCAGAGACAATATCGTTTGATTTCGATATTGTTAAATTTGATGCTAAATTTGCAGTATACGATGATACAAGTATTAAACTTAATGTATATAAACCAGCCGTAATAAACCGACCAAGAGCTGTAATAGCATGAAAATCTGCACCATATCCAACAATATTACTAAATCAAAACCAAAAACTCATTTCAATAGCTGAAAATCGAGATCGATTTTGTAGTGATCCGTTACAACATCGTTCTAAGAAATAGATTAAAATAACGGCATAGATACTTGATTCTAAAACTATGAGCCAAAGATTATGTGAAAATGGTCTTGAATAAGAAAACAAATCGACATTTGCATTTGATTGTTTTCGTATCATAATACGTAACGAACAATCAAATATTGTGTTGGAAAAATCAACTTTAGTTCGACGTGTAGAAGTTTCTGCAAGATCAGCTATGACGATATCATAAACTCCATTATATGTTTGATTGGCTGATGCTAATTGAATATCGGGAATAAATCCCATTTGTTCTCTTAAAAGTTCGAGTAAATCAGGAAAATAGCCTGTCAATTGTGTTGTTATATTTCCAGATGCATCAGTAGTATTAGTAACAATTGTAAATGGGGTCGACTCGATCATACCAATTTGTAGAGTAATATCAGATAGTATAGCACTACTATTAGAAGGTATTAATGAAGTTCATGATCACAGAACCACATTAATTCGTGATAATATTTGTCATTCATTAGGATAAATATATTTCAATATGGGTACAAAATCGATGCCTGTACTGATGGATTGAACATTTTGAACATAGTAATATAAACCACCGATACGATCTGTTGTATTTACATTAAATCGTATTGGACCAGAAACATCAAGGAGTTGTATTGTACTGATTATATTTAATAATGAATTAGAATAAAGAAAACGACGATCAAAACAATATGAAGAACCATTAAATAACAATAAAGAACTATTTTCTGTTGCTGAACTAAGTTGTTATAAAGATTGAATTAATGAATAAGTAACATCAAATGTATATAACGCATAATTACTAACATTCATTGATCCAGGAAATGATTCAGGTTCATATTCTTTCCAAATCTGATAGGCTGTATTCAATAATGTCGTATTAACTGATTCACTGATGATAGCTCCTGTAACTTGTTCAATAATTAGCATTCCAATCAATTTTGAATAAAATATTGAATTAAATGAAGTTAATGATATACTTGAACTTAGTATCCATGTAAATTTTGGACCAAGTACATCAGAATCTAGTGCTTCTTGTAAGATTAATCTAGTATGGCTCGATTCAGCCAATATAACAACAATGCGTGATGAACTTTGTATTAATCGTGTTTGTAAATTATCTTGAATTTCTTATGTTCTTATATCAAATATAATTCGATCTGATACAGATAAACCGTTATTAAGAAATGTATTAGTAATTACTTTAGCTCCATTTGACCCAAACATGTCATTCTGATGAATAACATGATGTCCAATTATATCGAAGAAATAATTTCATAATAGCTAATGCAGCAATAATATCCGATAGACATGACCCAAACCCAAACTGTTTGGGTTTGGTGAGTTTGGGTTTGAGTATTGAGTTTGGGTTTGAGTTTGGGTATTGGATTTGAGTTTGAGTTTGGGTTTAGGTATTGGGTTTGAGTTTGAGTTTGGGTTTGGGTTTAGCACCCAAACTCCCAAACAGTTTGGGTTTGAGTTTGGGCTTGTGCTTTTTTTAATCTGTAAAAGGAACTATTTTGAATAAATTTATTGCAGTTAAAAGTAGACCCAAACCCAAACTCAAACTCAAACTGTTTGGGACTTTGGGTACCAAACCCGAACCCAAACTCAAACTCAATACCCAAACTCAAACCCAAACCCAAACTCATGAACCCAAACTCAAACTCCCAAACGGTTTGAATCTGAGTTTGGGTTTGGGTCATGTCTAATATCCGAAGAAACTGTTCGATAAAAAGTCAGATAATCATGTCGATTTGATAAATCAGGATCAGTTGCAGCATATGATAGGACAGGAATACCATTTTTTTCGATAAAAAGAGCAACAGTAAGAACTTCTCGAGATAAATTTGGACCCACGATATCAATAGCAGGAAAATTAGTAATTGCTTTGCATGTATTACTCAGAGCATTAAAAATATTTCCATCAGTATCAGCTGATTACCATTCAATATATCGACTATCAATAGTTATATTATATTTTTGTGAAAGTAAAATAGCTGCTTTGAACATTGCACAAGTATGTACTGATTGAAAAGTAGATTGAGGTATATTTTTTGTATTATAGAATAGTCCAAATTATTGAATACTCGAGGAATTTGTTGATGGCCAACGAGCTATTACGTAACTGAAATTAAACTATATAACTACGAAATAACAGAAGAAGTATTGGAATAATTTGCATATAAATATCATTTTAGTTTTTAATTTTCACAATGTTATTTAATATTCTTGTTAACTTTAATATTGAATCCAATCCGCGAGTATACTTATTTTTTAATACTTTAGCCATGTTTTTTTTCTGTATGATTATGCATAAGGCTTGACTTAATATGAAAAGAAACAAAATTAAATACTAATAAAAACATGTATACAATCTTAGAATGGTTTCTTTTTTAAGGATAAAAACTACATTTATGAATAAAAATACAACTTCTTGAATCAAAACGTATGAATGATTTATACTGTCATACTATTGCTTATACCAAATGAATCCTAGTGAATGTTTGCTTTCTTACATCTCATATTTTAATCAATAAATACTTATTTAAAAAAAAGTCTAATAAAAAATGAACCGAGTTTTCTTTTGTTTTACGAACTTGAAATTGAATAATTTTTAGGCTGATATTAATAAAAACTCTAATTTGTTTTTCTCTGAACATTTCGATGGATATGTTCATACATTTACTTTTGATTCTTATCAATCCTCATATGATATGTAAATATTATTGCTCATTATTTTCGGTTTTCTTCCTTATTAGAAAGATTTTATACAAGGATGTGGTTGTGGATGTGTGTGAGTTTGCTTCATCAGATCAATGTTATCCCCACAACCGCACTCATCCTCTCGAAAGCCTTTTTAGGTTTCGCGACTGCTACCAAACCTAAAAAAAATTTCGTGTGACATCTTTTCTGTTTTAAATGTATTTCATATTTTCTTTTTGTGATAATTATTTATTATTTGTTTTTTTTGTTACACATCTTTCCTTCAGTTGTTACATAAGTATTTTATTTATTTCTTTGTTCAATTTTTTGAAAATAAAAATAAAAAAATACTTCTTTTTCTCTTTTGTTTTATCCAGACAATACCTTGTGTTGACTTAAATTCATGAAAACACTTATACAGACTAGATGAACAAATAGTAAATGTTACTCTTCGAATAATTTTTGACGAATGCCTCTATATTTTCAAACTGATGACGCCAGATACTTTCAAATTGGTAGAGCAAGTTATTTTCAGATTGGTGGTGTAAGATATTGTCAAATTGGTGGTGCAAGATATACTTTCCAACTGATGGCGCAAGATATTCTCTAACTAATGGTGCTAAATATTTTCCGATTGGTGGCGCAAGATACTTTCAAATTGGTGGCGCAAGATATTTTCAATTTGGTGGCGCAAGACGAAGGGCTGTCAGGTATAAATATGGACTGACTATGCCATTGTGCTTCACAAACGCTACAGCAGGTATCTTTGAAAGAACGAATTCTTTTGTTTACAACTTCAAACGAATCCATAATAGGTATGTTTATCATGCAATAGCATGTATACAATTCTTTTAATGAAAGATAAAGCAGAATTAATCTGAAAGGTGCATTATCTACAAGATATTAATGTCGGTGACGAGGAACACTATTTTTTGTGAAAATTTTCTTAGTTTATAATGAAAAAATAAAGCTTTTATTTAAGTTTTTTAGTAAAACATTGGGTCATTTTTTCATGATGGCAACAAACAATACTTCACAAACACAAAGAATTGTTCAAAACCAAATCAACTTTCTGACCAGCAGCATTGATGATGTTACAGGTTTTGTGCACAGATGGAGAAGAACACACATAGCAAATTTGTTAACTAATTACAATGAAGACCTCCAGTTCAAACAGAGCTTGTTAGTTCAACTCTCAACACAAGAAACGAAAGAAGGTGAAGCAAAAGAAGCATTAACAAAGCAGCTTAATGAAGAACGAGCAAAAGTTGCCGAATCGGAAGAAAAGTTCAAGAATGAATTAGACAGCTGTGAAGAGCAAATCAATGAGCTCAACGCAAGAAACAAGAAATTATCCAAAATGTTGAAGCAGATGATTCAATTCGTCAAGAGCCAAAAGCATGCATTCTTTGGTTATTTAGCGGAACGGGCTGGTGATAATCCGATGACTTGGGCAGCCTATCAAGAAATTCTTGACAACTTAGATGATGATACATTAGAAGATCGTCTTGCTACGCTTGCTTTAGAAGATCGTAAGTGAACGTGTATTGTCACAAGGTTTGGTACATTCAAGTACTTTTATCATTAATCACGCTTGTATCATTGAATCTTTTTCTTCAGTAATAAACATAACATCCTAGTAAAACAGTTGCAGATGATTGTCGGAGAGACATACCGAGGTGTTTGAGAGACGGTCTGTCAGATTATTACCCTAGCCGGCCAGAGGAAAAATTTATTTTCCCGATTTTATCTGAGGGTGAGTGTAGGTGTGGGCGGGTGAGGGTGTGGCTGCGGCTGTGGGTGTAGGAGCAGAGTAAATTTGGGTGGATGATGAGTCCACACACACACTTTCTTTTTCATTCTTCTTTGGCATCAATACATGTCGTAACTAAAGTACGTTATATTTTAAAGATCATCACCAAAAAAAAAGAACTTTATCAAAACTTGCTGTTAGAAAAAACAAAAACCAATTAGATTAATATTTTGTCATAGACTGAAGCAAAGAAAACTAGTTTTTGAGCATCAGAATAATAGCATTTAACAAAAAAAAAGTTCTTTTGCCATTATATGTACCTTTAATATAATGCGTATTGTGAGTATATGTCTTTTTATATATATCTCTGAAATTTTAGATTTGTTTTTTTTTGTGTGTATTCATTTTATTTAATTCAAATTTGTTTATAAATAAATGGTCAAGATTGAAAAACCAAAAAAGAAGAAAAAGAAGAAGAAAGGAATCATATACAAAGTAATAAAGACCAGACATAAAAAGTACCATATAGAGTCACACGACTAATCAAGCAAATAGAAGACAAGCTCAAGAACAAGCGATGGTGCTGCACGTGATACATTGTCCGATGCTTTCATTACAATTGGAATCATATGATCATCAAGTTGACTTAAAAAGAATGGTGATAATTGTTCACCATTAGAACCGGCTAAATATGATGCCTAATAAATAAATAAGTAAAAGTTAAACATTTGCAATTTTTCTTTATATAACTTACATTTTCTCGATCAATAGTAACACGTAAACCTAACTTTCGATATTTAGCTTCTACAAGCATATCAACAAAAGGTGTTAATGCTTGTGTAAAAGCTTTAGCAAGTGAATCAGCTAAACGTGTTGGATCGAATGATTCATTATTATTTAAATGACATTCAATAAAAAATAAATCTGTCCATCGAAGACGAAATAATGGTGAACGTTGACCAGCATAATGGATGCGAGAATTACGAACTCCATCCATCGGAAAATGATCAATTGGTGAACGAACTCTACGATACAAAAAATAGATATATTATTGAAAGCATTATTCTTACCCTCGATTAACATCATTATCTTCGTCAACCCATAAAAATTCTACAAGTTGTTCACTTGAACTTCTTTTCACAATAGTTCCATTTATTGAATCTTTTTGTTCATCAGTCATAATCGTTCTAGCTTTAGCTAATATTGCATAATCTTTTCGTTCTCTTAAACATTGTTTAAGTACTTTAAGTGCATCACCATCAATTTGTAACATAATTCCATCTTCAATTGTATTTACCTTAGCATTAAGATTATTATTTGTTGAAAAACTTCCACTTTGTTGTATATCTAATGGTGAACTTGATGGACTATCACGAGAACGAAGACTTGCATTAATAACAAGAAAATTTCCACCAATCATTATTTGTTCATTATTAGAATCTGATGATGAAAATATACGTGTTTCATATTGTTGATCATTCGAATTTTGTATTGTAACAAGATGTTTCGTATGTATTTGACGATTAACATTCATTATACCAAAACTTAATGCATGTGGACTACTTTGTTCAAGTGATTTTAATATATCATCATGACGATTACGTGGAATACGTATTGATACAGAACCTTGAATACCAACTGATATGATTAAACCACGTATTGTAGGTAATACATACGTAAATGAACGAAAATCCTATTTAAAAAAAATACAATATTTTGGAAAAAGAAATAATAATATTTACACAAAGTAAACTCATTATTGTATGTTGTGTATCACTAAATAACGCATTACGATTAACAATACTAACTAATGGCCATGGATAACCTAGAAAAGAATTAATAAAATCATGAAGAAAAAAATAAAATATTATGTTTACTTTGATATTCATAACCTAATCGAAGTAGAAGTCTTACTGGAAAGCATTGCGCAGTAGGTAATTCTGTTCGATGGATAAGTATACCAAATAGATAGGGTGCATCAGGCAATAGATTGTATGATGGTGTAGGATCAGACACATAAAGAAAACCAGCTGCCGCTGATGAACCAAGAAATGTTGATGAATTAGTTGAAAGTGATAAACTCAAGTGACGAACAAATGTACCTTAAATAAATATAAATGATAATTTTCAACTGAACAATCTTTCTTTTCTATACCTTTAGTTGCATCAATATATATTTGATGAATATGAATAAGAACATCAGAAATAATTTCACTTGCATTAGTTATATTTTCATCAAAAATAAAAATAACTTCATCTTGTGAAACAGTACATAAACCACGAGTAGAAAATATCCAACAATATCCACCATTTTGATTTAAATTACAATTGTCAACAATCTTGCTGATTACAATCAAATTATTATGAATACGAAATTCAACAGGTGGTTCATTTGGGTCTATAATAATAAATTACATATATAAATATAAGAGCATCTTGAAAACAAAAGAAAATAAAAAACCTTTTAGTTGTCGTATTTTTTCTTCAAGTTCTTCGGCTGTTAAGGATTCTACGTACAAATATATTATATATTACATATTTACTTATTTATTTGAAAACAAACCTGGCTTGAATAAGAATGCTTGATCTGTATCAGTTTCATTTGTGCGCACTTTATTTGATGACATGATATTTGTTGCTGCAATTGTAGCTGCTTCAGACGTATTTGTATCAACACCGGGTTTGACGCCATCATCAAATGTAACTGATTTCTTATGTTCTGATGGTTGTCTGCCGAGAGAATTTATTCCTGTTGCAGATGAAACCGATGGACCTGAATTTTTTTAAAATAGAATTTCTTAGATACAAGAAGGTTAGAAAAAGAGAGAGAGAGAAAGTGAAAAAGGTAAAATTATTTATTTATTTCTTCCTTCCGAGTTTAGATCAAAAGAGTATTGTACACAAAAAAAAGCTCCAATAGCATTTTCTAGTTTTCTCTTATTCAAACATAAAATTGCAAGAGTTGAGAATGAGAGATCGAAAGAAGTTGTAGCAAATATTATTGAAATAACCTTCATCTTCTAGAAGAGTACGTTAGAGAGCGAGAGAGAGAGAAAAAGAGTGGCTGGCATGGCAGCTGAATAGTAGGGGCTTTATTATTGCGTTTGAACTTTATATATTCGTGTGAAGCACAATTCTTTTCGATTTCATAACTATTTTTATTGTCGACTACAACAATTGTAGATAAAACTTGAATATGGGAACTACTTATGAATATACATATGAATATAATGTAGCTGATTCAAATAAAAATCATCGAGCTCATGCTGGTAACACTGGTGGCAATCCTAATACTGGACATAGTACTCAACGAACAGCTGGACAACAACAATCAAATTTTGGTTCAACATCCAATCGTACAAATAATAATGATCCTTTAGTGAATCTTCAACATGATCGTATTTGGAATAAACTTTATGATCCACTTAATCAAGATAAATCAGCACATGGAGCTGAAATCCAGGTTTGTTATTTTATTATAATAAAACAAATGACCTTTTGTTTTATATTTAAGCTAAAGTATTATTCTACTTATACTATTATGAAAACATAAGATAATAGCTATTTTTATTCGATTTTGTTTTCTTTATATTCCAATGACATTAAAACAAGTTTCAAATATCACCATTAGCTATTTTATTGTTCTGTTTCTTTCTTTCTTTCTTTCTTTTTTTTCTTGATAAATCGGGAATAGTATTGCATGTAATTTGTCGTGACAACGAATAGAAACAAATATAAACACATATTTATGTCACTAAGTAAAAGTAAAATGTTGAAAGAACAAAAAGAAAAAAAGCGAGCTAGTGAAGGTGAAACCACATTTCTACAATAATTCTCTTTCTTTGTCATTCTATATTAATTAATTGTCACTTTTTCTTTTCTTTTCTTTATTCGTCGATATTTAAAAACTATGAACCGATATAATAATATGAACAAAATTTAAAACAAAAAAAAAAACGCAAAAGAAAAGCAATCGTTTCTTAGCAAAATTTTTACATGTCAATTTTATATGATAAAAGAAAGAGAAAGACGAGGAAAAAGAAAAATACGCAATTATATATACAACAGAACTCTCATTTTTTCCTCTTCTGCTTAAGTTTTTTCACACTAGTCTCAGCCGTGTTTGAAAAAGAAAGTGCAAAGAAATCGAATACTTGTAGGTATGTTGAAACAAAGGAATGTGAAAGTCAAACTTTCACTAGTGATATCACTTATCAGATATTCATATACACATAAACCACTTACTAAAACCTCACCATGTTTTTCAGCGAAGACAGACGAACTATTTTCAATCATGTAGGATTCTATATTTATATCTATGAGAATTTCATTCGAATAAATTTTTATTTGAATTTTCAAAGAAAATGGCTCGTCGACAAGATCGTAAAGTAATTAAAATTGAAGCAGCATATGGTTCCGATCGACAAACATTTATTGTTAAACGTGATTATGATTTACGTGTACGTGATGTTCAAGAAGATGCAGCCAAAGTATTTAAAATGCCGCTTGAGGAAATAATTCTTTATTGGAAGGTGAATTAAATATTTAAAATTTAGAATACTTATATAAAATTTTATTTTAGGGACGAAATATTTGTAATACACCAAATGAATTACTAGAAACATTAGGTATTGAAAATAATCATCAAATGCGTGTTTGTCGTGAAGATGATCCAACACAACAAAATAGACGACGTGAATTACTTTCTAATACAGCACCCAATCAACAAAATGTACCATCAAATGGTACGTATAACCCTCAACAACAACAACAACCACCACCGCAACCACAATTATATAATCAATATCAACAGCAACAACAACCACCACCACCACCACCACCCCCACAGCAACAATACGGCACTAGCCCCCCACGGTAAGCGATTGAAATAGAAAGATTTTTTTTTTCTATTATAAGAGCAAAAGTGAAGTGCACTTATCTTATTCAATAAAAATAAAATTGAAGACAAATAAAAGATATTTTAAAGTACTATACTTTAAAAATAGAAAATAATAATATTATTATTTATTTTAGTTCTAATGATTATTACCAACAATTTTCAAATCAAAATATACCACCAGCTGTTCCTACAGTATTTCTTCTTAATTTACAAATTGGTCTTGGTGATCGAGCTGAAGGTATTGTTATTGGTCGACCATATCCATCAACAGTTTATGATTTACAAATTGAATTACAACAACGTTTTGGTATACCAATAGCTGAACAAAATCTCTCTTATAATGGAACATTATTAGCACAATATCCACCTGATACTCCACTTGATTCAATTGGAATTGTTAATCATTCATTTGTTTCACTTTGGACTAGAAGTATACCATCAAATAATCAACAGCAACCACCAACACCATACTATGGTGATGGACCTCAGTCAACATATAATGGCGGAAATCCACAAGATTTATCACCAAAGTAAGTGAAAAAACAAAAGGGAATTAAATATTAATGATTATTTCTTATAATTTAAAAGACGAATGGACAATACAAATAACAATGATGTCACTCAAAATGGTGGTAATCCGGACGTACTTAAAATTGAAGTTTTTCATGGTAAAAACATCTATTTTCTTATAAAACAAAACAATTCACTGATATAAATTATTTGTATTTAAGGTTCCGATCGGCATATTCTTATTTTACGTAGTTCAAACAATCTACGTATTGTAGATTTAATGGAAGAATTACAACGTATAACAACTGTTCCAGTTCAAAATCAAAAACTTTATTATCGTGGTCAAGAATTACAACCATCAAAAGATCGTACATTACGTGATGCTGGCATTGATAATAATGCTCAAGTTAGATTAATTGGTGATCCAGCGAGAGCACGATATGAACCAATGATTACTGGCAATCGACCTAATTAAATTCGATTAAATTATAGAAAAAGACAAATCTCATTGAATATATCATATTTTTCTTTTCTAATTATGTTACCAGTCTATACGCTTTATTCATAATATTCATTCGTTTTGTAAATAAAAAATATAACGGGTAACAATTTTGAACTTTTCAAAAAAAATGATTTCACCAATATAAAATTTTTCTAACGCGCCATTATTTTTTAACTAATTATCAAATAAAATCATGACATCAATCAATAATAAATCACGTTGTATTAAATTACAAATTCAATATGGTTCAGATCTTTATGAACTTTTATTATCGAGTAAAGATAATAAAATTCAAGTTGAACAGGTTTTAAATGAAATTGAAAAACTTACTAAAATACCTAAATGTCATCAAACTCTTATATACAAAGGACAACGTTTAGATCATAAACCAAACGAAAATCTTGAAGATCTTTATATATTTAATAATAGTAAATTAATATTAAGTAAAACACAAAGATCATCTTATGATAAATGCGATTATCTTAATCTCTCATCACAAAAACAACAAAACAATACGGATCTAATTGGTTTTACACCTGAGCCAAATAAGAAATATGAGTAAAAGATTTTATATAAACAGAATAATTAAAATACTTATTTCTTAAAGATATTACACAGTTCCATACAAAACTGATCCAACAACTCTCTTACAAAATATTCATTTATCGTAGGAAAACATGTTTACCTGTTCTTTTCCGTAATACAGATGTACGAGGTTTTTGATTATTACGCATATAAGTCCATAAATATTCAACTATAAACAGAAAAACTTCTCTAATAAATCATAAATATTAACAAAATACCTTCATTGATTGTTTTAACACAATCATTACATGCACGATCTTCTTTACTATCATCATGAATTAATTTAACTTTTTGCCAACAACATGTTGAACAATAAACTTTTCCACATGCACGACAATGATGACGACGACGAGTTATTGAAAATTTACTTGCACATTTCATACATACAGGTGCGAGATCATCGCTTACCCATTGAGGTGCAACAGAACCAAGATGTTTTTCTTCTTCAGTTAATTTTGCCCATTCTTGTTCAACACGAATTAATTCTTCATCGATAGGTACTGATGATGAAGCTGCACCGGCTACTAATTCTGGTGATGGTGGTCGCTCTGAAGTAGGAGGAGTAGACGACGACGATGGTGGTGGACAAGATTCAATTTCATTCGACGTTGATGTTGGTACATCATCTGTTTGTTGTGAATCAATAATCTGTTTAAGTAAATTATCTACTCGATCGATTTCAGCAGGAGTTAATTGATGAATATCACCATCAGATATATCAACACTTGCAAGCATTTCATCAAGAAAACGAAAATCTTCACTATCATTTGTTGTTAATGATGCTGGTGGTGCAAGAATATCTTGTTGTTCAATATTAATCATTTCTGGTTCTTTTTCTTCAGTAAGACTTTCATCGAGTATTTCTTCATCTGGTTTATCAAAAATTTCTGATAAAATATTTTTAACAAGATCAAAATCTTGTATAGGTGCATTAGTTGTTGTTGTTATTGCAGAAGGAGAAGGAATTGGTGAATTAGCTATAAATTCTTCAGATATTGATTGCATTGGTTCTTCATCATTATCATTGCATGAAGTAAAAACAAGTTCAGAAGATATTTGAAGTGATTCAAGATCAATTGTTGGTGGATTAGGAGCAACAAAATCCTATTGATAAATATGTAATTTTATTAAAATAGAATAATTATTATTTACTTTAACATCATGTACTACTGATGCATTAACAATACTATCAACACTATGTAATACTGTTGTTGGTGTCTCACGTTGAATAAGATCAGGTTCATTTTGAAATAATAGATTATTTGATACTGGTGTTGTTTCAATTATAGATTCTGCTGTTGATTGTTGTTCATTATCTTCTTCATTTGAAGATAATGATCTTGATAGTAAAATAGTTTCATTCTTATTATCTAAATTACTATTTGTGAGTGTAGTTAAATCAGGTAATAATAATGGTGATTCAAGAGTATGATGTAAAATTTCTTCACGCACTTCATTTTCAAGCTGCTCAACAGCTAATGGTAATGATGTAGATGATAATTCTTCTTGTTGACCAATAATATCAGGTAAGGTTGGAGTTGGAGGTAATATTGTTGATGAATCAATCACAGTTGATGTTGCATATAATTCTTCCAAATCTTGTTTAAACCGGTCTAGTTTATCATCATTTTCTTGATCAACATGATTTTCTGTATTTCCCAGAGGATCAAGATCGAGTAGAAGTAATTCATCAGCTGATCTTCTAGAAGTATTGTGAAAAGGGAGAGACTCTGAAGGTAATGTTTCAATAGTTTGATTTGTTTCTTTCTCTTCAAAATTCGATTGATTGACTATAAAAGAGAAGAAAACATGTAGAAAATAAATAAAAGATAAATATCTTACGCGTCTTTTCTAATTGATCAAGAACAGCATCAATATCGAAATCCATCTCAATGAAGAGATGAGAAATATCTAAAGAAAATTCTATCAAATTACAATTTTCTAAATAATAATCAATTATTCCGATAAAATCTAAATGAAAGTTATTTAATCAAAGAATATTTGTTTATAATATTAAAAAAAACATGACTAGGAAATTTGAATACCACATATAGTATTAAGTAAAAAAAATGTAGATAAGTAAATGCCAATGACAGACAAAAACAGTAGATTGAATGAATGAGTCACATTCTTTCTTTTTTTATCAGCTGTAAACTTAAGTATTATTAAATGAATATATAACAAGAAGTTATATTTTTTTATTGAATTAAAAGATTAATTTTACATAGTTTATCGATTTATGTTGAAGAATTTTTTGTCAAAAATCAAAATCAAAATGGCGGTTGAAGAATTTTTTTCTAATCGGCTAATGTTTCCAACCAATAAGATATTTAAATAGAATAGTATATACGATAAATTTTTCTTTATTATTATTATAGATTGACATATACGTAGTTGTGATAGTCCACTGAATAGAATAACCAATTTTTTAGTTTATAATTTTTGAATATCGTTAATAATATTAAGATTAATCAATGTAACTGCAATTATTTTAATAGTGTGATCTGTAGAAGTGAGAAATATATATATCTATTTGATTTTACAAAATATTTTATTTGTATTTCTAATTATAGATAGATTGAAAAAGTTTTCTTTAGGTCAAAATATATGTATGAACTGGAAATAAGCGACATATTAGTTAATAAAAAAATTTTTATAAGTAATATTTAACTTTTTTTATTAAATCTATTTTCGAATTGTTTTATATAAATATTTATAATTATTTTATTATAATTGTGTTGTTACGGAAGAAATTAAAACGCGAGGTGGTTTTTAATTCTATTTTTTATTGGTTATTTTGTTTAACCAACCTATGTTAGTTCTATGGTCAATTTTTCTCCTTCATTGTGCGTAGATACATTTGTATATAACGTTATGTTGTATTGTATTATAGTCCTTCATCAATGAGGCACAATAGATAATAAAACTAATGTTCATCAATCATATAATAGTTCGAATGTTATCAATAGACTATCAACGGTTATTTTATAAATATTTTGATAGAGATTTAACACAAAAAAAAGATAAATGTAATCCGTTTATCTTACATAAATAGATAGAAAGTTGTGTTAAATAAAGTGAATTTTTAATCTAAATGATCAGTTTGTTCAGTTTATAAATGTTCACATAATCATACGTAATTGTAGTTTTTTTTCTTGTGTGTTATCACTTGAGTAAACTTCTAGCACGTTTCTATTTTCTTGCGTAAATAGTAATTAATCTCTTTCTTCTGAATTTATACTATAGAGAACAGTTGATCTAAAAATTACTTCGCCATCTGGCAAATGTCATTTATTTGTGATATACGTTACACTATTAACGTACGTTCATTGAATTGTTATTGATTAATCTTCTGTGTGTATGTCCATCTGTGTCATTTACATTCTTTCTTCTTCTTTTTTCTATTAATTGTCACCATCGTTATTATTTTTTCTATTGTATATAATTAAACGAAGGTTGCTTAGTACCCAATTTATATATACTTATTTGTAAAGTAAGAAATAACGATATGAAACCATATGAAAGCAAGAGATTTTTTTTCATGCTCTTTAGTACAATTTAGACCATTGCTTCTTTTATTTATTCGATCAATCGCCGCCATCCCTCCTCTTTCATTTGCTTTTCGTTCTCTCTCTCTCTCTCTCTGTCCCTCGTTCAATTTGATGTGCACGTTTGCCCTTCATCAAAGCTCCCTCCCCCACTTGATTATTGCATTAGTTAACATTTTGAGGACGGAATATGAGTGTGAAAGAAGCATAATACATACACATAGAAATAAAAAATGATCTTATGTAATCCGTTCTTATTCGCAAATTGTCTAATGTGCATATACGTCTGTTCAAAGCACATCTCATCTTTTCTTCTGCTCCATCGCACGCTTAAAACTTGAACACTCATTATTCTTCACCATCGTAGTCTATAAAAAAAATTTATACATATACATATATATACACATTCATTTTTTTAAAGGTTTCACACTCAATATGTGATATATACTAAGTTTAGTAAGAAAAGTCTATACAGGAAATGTCTAATATCTGGTGAGAAGTCAGTCAGCATGTGTTGATTTTCTAATGATATGTGTGAATGTACAAAATACATGCAGACGGATCATTTGCATAAATGTCAGAGACAAAAAGAAGAGTTCTACTTTGATTTTTTTTTCTCCTTTCATTCCTTCTCTCTCCCTCACTCTCTCACCCTCTCTCTATTTTTTTCTGTTTCACTCTAGAAGATTAATCATTCATTGATAGAACGACGACGACGACGACGAACGCCATTGTCGACAAAATGGCATCATCGTTGCTACTATTTTTATTCAATGGTAAGTCGAGATTATTATTCTTTTCTTTAAATATAAGTGCATACACTAACATAAGAATCTCTTAACTTGGGATTAATCATTCGATTGTTGTATCAAATTCTCAAGAGAAAAGCCTAACGATAAATACATTTAATTCTTATTCGGAATATTAAGAAAAAGGAAGAAGCACGTAGACAGAAACAAAAAATTCTATTATATCATAAGAAATATTTGCATTTTATTTATACATATATGCATTTATAAAAACGAACGTGCTTTTATTTAAGTAGAATTATCTTCCTTTGAGACAAAAAAGAAAAGAAATAACATATTTCTTTGATCTATTTAATAATGATCTATTGTCGGTTGAGTAAGTAAATCTACTTCCGATCATCTTCTTTATATTATGTTTTGGTTCATTGATTTTTAATGAAAAAAAGAATTTTTAATTTTTTCTATTTTAGCTTGTCTTTTATTTACTTCCATCGCTATTGTATTAGGAACATCTGATTTATCAAAACGTGCTATCAATGAAAATCCAATTGTTGAATTATCTGTTTATCCAAATGCAGGTGTTTCAACAGAAAATATTCAAGTTCGTTGTCAAATAACTCAATTATCATTAATGAAATCTCCATTATCATCATCAAAATTTGATAATGTTTATTTGTCAGTTAAAACAGATACTGTTAAACCATCAGGAATTGTTCTGATGTTCGATGATAGTAGTGATGGTTGTCGATTAAATCGAGAAAATATTCGTATTGATGTATGTAATGCATCGCTTATACTTATTCATATTAATCATACAATACTAAATGAAACACTTCAAAAAATAGATTATTCATGCTCAAAAGGAACTACTTACGCATATAGTTCATATCGAATAATAAGTAAATATTATTCTTTCTAAAGTGAAAAGCAAAAAAAAAACCAAAATTTTAATTTTATTTTTAGAAGATCAATCAGCACGTTATTATGATCCAACATATAATTCATCATCTACTTTAACAGCAAACACTTATTTTTTATTATTATTTGTTTGTTTTATAACACAAATAATACGTTTAACAACAAGAAGAATTCAATGATCATAAAACAATTAAATACATACATGTGTGTTTCATTCTGTGATAAAGATCATTCGTTACCTATTTTATGCATTGAAATATTCACATGATAACACACAGATATTTTTTTTTTCATTTTGTTTATTTCTACTTTTATATATACATATTATATATTATCATCATCATCTTAGAAAGATATTGAACATAGTTCATTCCAGAATTTTCTTTTGTAATCATTAAACATCTTGTTTTTGTTTTTGAAACTGATAACTGAGAATGCAGATATTATGAATTATTATAAGCATATCTATACTTCTTGCTTTTGTTTTTCTTCCGGTACTTATTTCTTCTCGTTCTACACCTTATGTATGTGAATGACTGCTTTTTTTTGTTTGTTTATTTGAAATACATCATCATCATCATCTTTAATAGATAGATAAAGCAGATTTCTCCACTTTTAGATAGCAATTTTATTGTCACAATATGAACATAATTTTCAAGTATTTTTTTCCTAATTCTGGAACACATGCTGATCCATGTGGTTTTGTTTATATCTAAATGCAAAAGAATTCGAGTACAAGAACATCACGTAGAAAAAATCGTATCACGTACTGGAAATCAAATAAAAATTCCTGTTTTTTTTCTGATTATATTTGTTATTATTTATAAAATAAATAAATTTTATTCTAATTGTTTTTATTTTTAATTAGGAGAAAAACAGAAATTCGATACTATTTAGAATTTTAGATCTGTGATATTATCTTTTCCTGCGCTGGTGTGCGCATTGGAAAGAAAACGTTTTTTTTCAGCAACGATGTTAATTAACGAAAAAAATCTTGATCAAATAATAGATACTATTCGAAAACTTCATCAAACAACAATTGATCAACGATTGGTTGATTTAACTGATTATTTAACTGAATTTTTGCAATCTATTCAAGTAGAACAATCAAATATATTTCGTACATTAACGCAACTTATACGCAATTCAGAAGATCGTACAGCATTAAAAATTGAATTTCTTAAAGCACAATGTTTAGAAATCATCTATGCAAAAGTAAACAATAATGAAAATGAAAATAATATTATCGCAATTTTAGAATTTATCATTGAACTTTTAAATAATTCGGAAAATGTTCAAGGAAAATTTCTTCATTTTAATGGTTATGAAAAATATTTTAAATTACTTTCTTATATTCATTCACCAACAATTGAATTCATAAATCAATTAATTGTTCTTATGATTGAAAAATCTACATTACCAAATGAAGATATAATCATATTTCCGATTGATTCATTTGTTATTTTTAATAATCCACATATTGCTATATCATTATTATATTGGATACCATATTTAAATGATATATCACATCAATGTCATATTATTTCTTCAATTGAGAAAATTATATTACGTTCATTACAAAATAAAATGATGGCTTGTTCAAATAGAATTATTTTTACTCTACTTAATGTATTGAAAATAAATAATAATGAAAAAGCGAATAAATTAGATGAAAAAATTCTATTCAATATTTTTTCATTATTAGAAAATTTATCTCGATTTTCAATAAATGCACAAGAAATTCGACTTATATGGCAATTGTTTCATCAAAATACATCATTAAAAACTCAATTATTACAATTATTAATAACAGCAGCGAAATATGATGATCCAGATACACAATCGATTTCATCGTATTTTGATTTACAACGACCAAATAGTGTAAATAAATAAAAACGTTTTTTTGAAATTTATGATTAATTCTATTTATACATTAGGGAATTATTTTGCCTGTTATTCATCGATGGTCATCATTATCATCCTCACCATCATTATCAGCAACAACATCTTCATCATCGCCATCATCTCCTCATTTTTCATTTCATTGTTGGTTAAAATTGAATCATGAAATTGGTTCTTATCCATATGGAGGACGTCGTCAAATCTATTCATTCTATTCTCAATCGATTGGTTTAGAATCATTTATACGTAGTTCATCAATCACTGTATTGATAACTGATCATCGTGAAATTGCTTATATTGAAATAAATGATTGTGATGATTTATTTGACGGTTATTGGCATTCATTAACTATCGTTCATACAGCACAACGTCCATCCTTATTTGGTTCAGCATTTCAAACAACATTATGCTGTAATTTAACAATCTATATTGATGGTTCATTGAGAAAAGAAATAAAAAATTTTAAATATGTATCAAATATAAATGATCCAATTACTTTAGCTTCAATTGGTTCATCAAGTCAACGACCAAAATCATCTGAAATCAAACAAAAAAATGAATCATTATCAACAACGCTTGTAAAAACAATTCAACCATTTAAAGGTTTATTTACATCACGAGCAAAACCTACAAATATACGTAAAGAAAATCAAGGATTCTATTCACAAAATGTCATGATTATTGAACCTGAAAGTCAAGAAGCAATATTTGGTCAATCCATTTGTTTATATGGACAATTAGCATGTATTTGGATATTAACTGAAACATTAGATGAACAACAAGTTAAACAATTATATGAAATGGGTGGTGATTTCTGTCATCAATATCATTCTTCAATGCTTAATAATGATACTTCAATATCTTCAGTAATATTTGATTTAATTTCTACACGTTCACTTCTACTCTATCATCCATTAGCATGTAATGGTCAAATTTGTATTGATATATCTAGTTGTTCTACACAAATAAATGGTCGACTTATAAATGGTTCATGTTTACGTCTTTATCCATTTTCTGAATCACTTGTTAATCTAGGTGGTTGTCCTATACTTTATCCATTAATTGAATTATTTCAAGAAAATGATTCGAATAATATATTATCTTACGATCAAACTAAAACATTAGATAATCGTCATAATCACTTCTATTCAAATCCAATAGCATCAATAATTTATTTAATTCGTTGTATTTTATCTTCAAAATCAATGATTATTCTAACTGAACAAATAGCTCAACATTATAATATTGAAATCTTAGGTGAATATTTAAATCATATATCATCATCATCTTTTGTTGATCAACAATTATTAATGTCAATTGAAGAATTAATTGAATCAAGTCGATCTATAAGCTCCTTACAATTGTTAACTATTCAATTAATTCAACATATTTTATTTAATTTTACTCTATGGAATAAATCGAATTTTCATGTACGATTATTACATTTACAATATATATTAAAAGTTATTAAAGAAGAGAAAAATTTCGATCGAGATAAATTTGGTATACAATTCTTTTTAGATATTCTTAAACAACACTTCAAGTAATATAACACAAAGATTTTAAATAAATTGTAATATTATTTATTTATTTTTTTAGTACAACAAAAGGTGATAAAGAGGAACAACGTGAATTACGTGATATTATCTATGAAATAATGAAATATTTTTTTCAAAATCATACTTCTATGAAAGATTTAAATGCATTACTTTCGACAATATCTGTATTATCTGTATTAAATGATGAAATAACATATGAATTACTTGAATTTATTGTTGGTTTACTTAATCCAACATCGACATTTCATGAACAAACAATTGATTTTCTATGTGAATCAAATATGATTGAAGGTTTATATTCACTTTTAGTTGTGAATAATTTATCAAGTCGAACAAAAGAAATAATTTTAAAAATAATGAAATGTTTTATTGGATCAAAACGTACATCACAACAAATACGAGCTCAATTAAGATTAGAAACAAATCATATTGGTTTTGGTGGGATTATATCTGGAATTGCACTTCATGAATTAAATGAATCGATTGTTCAAGAAATTCTTAATTTAATCATTTCATCTAGTATGTTATTTTATTAATATTATTAAAAATCAATATTTTCATTTATTTTAAGATTCAGCAAGTGCTCTTCATCATCTTAATATTGTTTTAACACTTTGTAGTGCTGCATCTATTAATGTTCGTCATATAGCGATGCGTAAAGTAAGTAAAAATATTAAAATGATATTTATATGTTCTTTTCTTTCATAGCTAATGACCTATTTTCTAAATCATCCAGCAGCATGTCGTTTGTATGCGAAATGTCATGGATGGCAAGAAACTTTAGCTAACTTTTTTGTTAAAATGCGTCGTTCAAGTTTAGGACCGTTAATGAATCAACATCATAATTCATCTCCAAATCTTCTATATTCATCAACAAGAAATCTAAGTCTTAATTTGGGTCAAGAATGTTCAAAATCTTTGGATATGAATAATGAAAATCAACGTCGAACATCAGCACCACATTTGGATATAGCAAGTTTACATGATCTATCACCAGAAAAACCTATTTCATTATCAGTAGAAGACATAGCAACTAATGTAGATCTAATACAGTTAGATACACCTTCCGAACAATGTTTAACATCAAATTCTACTGATAAATCAATGGATGTTTTAACGAATACAAAAGATACAACTACAGATTTACATTCTTTATCAAATGAAATAATAATAACACCACCATCATCAAATTTTGGTAGTAGAGAAGATCTTATATCATTACTTAAAACAGAAAATTCAAATGAAAATCTTAATGAAATGATGAAAAATGATAATAATAATTTAACAACAACAGCAACAACATTACAACGAACAAGTACCAGTACAAGTATGCCACAACTCTATGATGATAAAGAAAATATTAGAGAGTATAATCAATTTAGTTGTGAATACAGAAATTTTTTAGGTTGGCTCATTGCTTTAGTTTGTAATGATATCAAAGCTTTGGGTTAAAATTCTTTCTAAACTAAAACTATCAACTATTTAGCTAACTGTAGAATGATACTGTATGAATTTAATCTGGATTGTGACTAATGCTTTTTATAATATTATAATTTCATATGTATATATTTATGTGTTATTTAAGGTATAAAAAGTACTGATGATTCATCATTGTATATGCAATCATCTATTAACATTTCCATAGTTGATATTCTTGAAGAAATGTGTGAAACATTAATTTTAGCAATTGTTATGATTTTATGGAAAGGAATTATTGA